CATTAACGCCACTAATTATTTTAACGCGATTAACGCATGTGTATTTTTTGTCCTCGGCCGCCGTAGTTTCAGAGCGCATCGAGTGTAAAATACCATCTACAAGCTGATGCTGACAGCCCCGCTCCTGCCGCCTGCTTGTGGCAGACCATACTTCCACGCAGGCCCGGACTGGCCATCGGGAGGACCGGGAGGGAGTGTGTATGTGTGGCGCGACTCGCGCGAGCGAGGCACACCTTACGTGTTGTTGTTAGCATCTGGTGCTAGCTAGCTGCGCTAACGGATATAAGGAGCTGTTTCAATGACATTTCGCCGACAACTGCGCCGAGCACTTGACTTTATGCAGGTAGCCAGACAGTGGGACATTGTACGAAAAGTCAGCACACTCGGCACGGATAGTACGCGCAACATGATTGCGTCCAGGCAGCTCCCGTTCGAGCATATATGCCTTGAGCTGCACATAGCTCCAACGATCCATCACAGTGTCTCCACATTCATACACACACACACACACACACACACACACACACACACACACACACACACACACACACACACACACACACACACACACAGTATTATTGTATGAGAGAGGTTCCAGGTTGAATTGAGGCGAATATTTGTAATGTTCAGAGGTTGTTGTGTTTAATATTCATGAGAATATTTGTCATTGTTCAAATGATAATAAACAAACATATAAAGCATATGTGTCCACTCATATGTTGATAAGAGTATTAAAAACTTGAAAAATATCCCTCTAAGGTACATTTAGAACAGATAAAAAATGTGCGATTAATTGCGATTAACTATGGACAATCATGCGATTAAATATTTTAATCAACTGACAGCCCTAAAAAATATACATTCTGCACATTTAACAGTGTTATACTTTTTATATTTCCCTGCATTATCTTTTATTGATGACATTTTTGTTTTATACCAGCAGATGGAGCCAGTGATCAATTTTAAATGTTGATATCAGTAATGCAGTAATGTATTGATGTGGCTTACAGGAACCTGTTGGTGATTGGTGGTGTGCCTGCCAAGGACCAGATGGCTGCTCTGGAACATGGGGTATGTGACATGTACCGTCTCCAAACAAACTGAGTTTACACTTGAAGTAGTTTTAACTAACAGATATTTTTTGCCTTGTTTGCCTCTTCTGTTTCTGATTTTTGTGTCAAATTTTAATAAGGTTGACATTGTCGTGGGAACACCTGGAAGACTGGACGACCTCATATCCACCGGGAAGCTCAGTCTGTCCCAAGTCCGCTTTCTCGTCCTGGATGAGTGTGTATGTACAACACATCTTGAGTATTTCCCTTTTTAAAATCAGAAGCATTCATTTTTGCATCCAACAAAGTACAGTTAATGTTTAATCAGTGATTTTCATAGCTTAACCATCCCTGAAGTCACTCATCATTTTTCTGTGTTCCCTGTATCCCTCAGGATGGCCTTCTGTCCGCAGGCTATACAGACTTTATCAACAGGATTCATAACCAAATCCCTCAGGTCACCTCTGATGGCAAGAGACTGCAGGTAACACTTCAGATAAATCACATATGTGACAACAAATCAGTTATATCCTTTTTTTCAGACAATTTTAAACAGTAAAGTAAGCACAAAACAACACACTTGGATGACTGTCAAAGCAATTTTGGGGTATTTTCTGAAAACGTTTTATATGTGAAGTGCAGATTAATTAAAAGAATATGTTAACGATGCTTGTTTGTGCTCACCAGCTAGCAAAGCAAGGAAACATTTGATAGCCGTAAGCAGGGGGAAGCCCAAGTGAACTATCTCAGTTGATATCTTTTCTTCCAGGTGATTGTCTGTTCAGCCACGCTGCATTCGTTCGACGTGAAGAAGCTGTCTGAGCGTATCATGCACTTTCCCACATGGGTGGATCTGAAGGGGGAGGACTCTGTGCCTGAGAGTGTGCACCATGTGGTTGTGCCTGTCAATCCCAAGAACGACCGCCTCTGGGAGCGCCTGGGCAAGAACCACGTCCGGGTGAGTCCCTCATGTTGGCCTAAAGAAACACTTCATACTGATATGGTTTGAGTTATAATGCTGGAAATTGTTTATCTCGGTTTAGATTATGTTAACAGTTTTTTTTCCTTGCTTTGAATAGACTGATGAGGTCCATGCCAAAGATAACACCAGACCAGGAGCAAACTCTGCGGGTAAGGGCTGAACTGTTAAGACCATTAAAATGTAATTCTCTTGTTTTATTTGTTAAATATAATCTAAGACGAGCAATGTGCTTTACATAAACAACAACAGGAATGGTATAGCGTTTTTTCCTTCAGGGAAAATTCATGGTGAAGAAAAAATGAGTGTTTGTCTGTGTTTTTAGAAATGTGGTCAGAAGCCATCAAGATGCTAAAGGGCGAGTACACAGTGAGGGCCATCAAAGAGCACAAGATGGACCAGGCCATTATCTTCTGTCGCACCAAGATCGACTGCGACAACATGGAACAGTACTTCATTCAGCAAGGAGGAGGTATGAGTACTACTGAGAATTGCAGCCATTACTAGACATACACACACATATAAAATAAGGAATTAATTGATGTTTGACTAAATTTCTATGAAAAAAAATCAGAATAAACACTCAGTTTTGGTGTCTTTTCTTTAGGTCCGGACAGTAAAAGCCACCAGTTGTCCTGCGTTTGTCTCCATGGTGATCGTAAACCCAATGAGAGGAAGACTAACTTGGAGCGTTTCAAGGTAAAACAACAAGAACTTAATGATACCTTTTTTTATGGATGACAACCAGTCTATTTATGTTGTAAGATCTTCTTGTGTTCACAGAAAAAAGAAGTGAGGCTGTTGATCTGCACAGATGTAGCTGCCAGAGGAATTGACGTCCACGGAGTTCCGTATGGTAAATATTTCAGATCTTCAAAATAAAACGGACCGGCGGTCATCACAAAATCATAAATGTTTTTATATAAGACCGCTCTCTTCATCTTTCTCCAGTGATTAACGTCACCCTGCCAGATGAGAAGCAGAATTACGTCCATCGTATCGGCAGAGTCGGAAGAGCCGAGAGGTAAGCGCTGACAACCTGAGACTAACTGAGTTTGTGTATTTTGGCTGAAGAGGAGATGCAATTATTATTTTCCTCTGTCACCATATTAGTTTTGTTTGTAAATTCACACAATATACCTTTTAAAATGTCTCATTACACTGATTTAACTGAAAATAATTACATTTTAGTTACATTTTTTTTCCTTTTGCTTTTAACTTGCAGAATGGGACTGGCCATTTCCTTGGTTGCTATGGAAAAGGAGAAGGTAGCGGAGATACAGAAATATTCTAATTCATTTTAACACATCACTTTTAAAAGAAGTTCAAATTAAATGTTTTCTTCATATGTGCAGGTGTGGTACCACGTTTGTGCGAACAGAGGCAGAGGCTGCTACAACACGCGACTGAAGGAGGACGGAGGTTGCACCATCTGGTACAAAGAGAAAGAGGTGAACAAAGATGCAGAAACAAACTAAATCAAGCTAGGAAAATCTGTAATTTGATATACAACTGATTCAGCAGAGGGCTTTTTAGTGATTTGATAGGAAGCAGATGCAAACATTCAAAGTAAAACGCCTATGAGCAGAAAAGTTTTGCTATAATTTGGAAGCATTGAAAGCTTGAGCACACACTTTTGACCCTTATGACATAATTCCACACTAACCATTGTGGATTCTCTATTCTACTTGTGTCTTTTATTCCCTTTCCTCTCTCCACAGCTCCTGTCAGATATTGAGGAGCATCTGAAGTGCACCATCACACAGTGCGAGCCAGACATCAAAGTACCTTTGGATGACTTTGATGGAAAGGTCACCTATGGTCAGCGTAAGGTTTTGGGAGGTATGTTTTAAACTGCTTACAAATTGGTAGTTTTTTTTTTTTATCATAATCATTGCATAGATTTGCTGGTAACTTTGCTAAAGATACATCCACTGCAGTTGTGTTGAGCATGACTAACAAACCGGTTGCCCTTGCCTAGGTGGTAACTACAAGGGTCACGTGGATGCTCTGGCACCAACGGTCCTGGAACTGGCTAACCTCGAGAGGGAAGCCCAATCTTCCTTCCTCCACCTGGGATACATGCCAAACCAGCTTTTCAGAGCTTTCTGAACACGCCCCAACTAGCACTAAAACTGTACAGATTAAAGAAATGCTCCAACAGGAAACAGAATCTTTATGATACAACGCAGTAGTGTGCAGTTATTTCTCAAGTTGTTTTCCCACCCAGAATTATGAATATAACATAATAAAAATAAAAAAAATTCTACTATTTCACTCGGTATGCCAAACTTGTCTCTGGCATCTGATACATACACTAATGACAAAATAATTTGTTGGATTGTGTTTTATTTTCTGATTGATGTGGTTGAATGAAATATTTAACTTTCTTTATGGAGTAATTGGCTAAAAAGTCAATGTATTGAAGTGTCTGGGTGTATTTTTTTTAAATAAACTGTAATAGCCTGCTCAGTTTGAGTTCAAAAGCAGCCAAGTATCTCCAACAATTATGAATGTCTCCTCTGTTTATTTGATTTATTGAGACTGTTAATAATTTCTGATAAATTCATGAGAATATAATTATAATCTTCACAGAGCAATGTTTATTTTCTGTCTGTTGTTACTGGATTGTTTTACAGCTTTGAGTCAGGCCTCCTCCACAAAGATTGAACAGGCATTTTTAAAACTAAGCACCGTTTCTTGGCTCACCAATGAGCAGCCATATTAGGAAGTAAGAATAAAGAAAGATTTAGAGTTAGACCATAGTAGGACGCTACTTCTACAATATGAGGTTCTGACCTTTGCTGGTAGAACATTTGAGTATCTGGACCTCTTTGAATTATTATTGAATACCCTTGAATTATTGTTCAAAGAATTTAAGATTGTGACATTTAAAAGGGCAGTAGTATTACCACCGGAAATGAGTTACTTAAACTTACATAGAAATGTCATGATTTAAATCATATAAAAGTGCTGCAAGATCAAAGAATGTGTGGGGAAAACCAGAAATAACGAATGTATTACATTGATTGTTAATATGTAATCATTTAATTGTACACATTGACAAATCCCGTTTTGATCGCTGATGGTGACACTTTTATTTTGAAATTTCCGCTCAGATCTTCGTTCTTCGCTTCCTGTGAAAGCCGTGCATCGACTTCTACATTTAAGAGGTTTTTGGCTGGATTTCATATAAGAAGACATCTTTTGGGACAACTTACGAGATGTTAACAAGGAAGGATAAAGTCTCCGAAAGTGTTCAGCCTACCTTTGGTACGTGTACAACAATTTGTTTCGTTGTTATTCGATCATGGCGGTTCGGTTGTGATTAACGTCGTCACAATGAAAGCATGGTGGCTGGAACTTTCTTCCTCTAGTCTGACGTGTTGGCCACAATTTGGTTGAGATTTTATCGTGTATGAGATCATATAAACAATGAAAGTCGAAAATGTGAGTCGCGTGTTCTTAGTCGAACCTATTTAAGTTGTATCTGCTTTATCGCTGTACAGAAGTAGGTTTTTTGTAACGTCAAAGGTTGGCATTGTGATGACAAAAAGCTTCATAGCTATCACCATTACAGTAAACCTATATGCAGTGGTGGTAAGAAACTAAGTTCTAAACTAAAGTACTGAATTGAAGTACTTCTACTCCAGTACAATTCAGAGGTAAATAGTGTACTTTTGCTCCACAGCATTTGTGTAATACCTTCATTAAATTTGCAGATGTAGATTAATGATACAAACTTAAATAGGACTTTAGTTGCACCAGGATTAAATTAAGTTGCTGGCCAGCAGTAAATTAAAGGTGGGGTAGGTAATTTTGGAGAAACCACCCTGCTGAAAAAACCAGCTAAGACCAACAAGGCTGGTCAGTCAATATTAGGCTGGATTAGTTTGCTGGTTAAGAGGGGGTTTTGGACACTTTAGCTGGTCAGGATAGCTGGTTTGGTCACAGTGGTCTAGCTGGTCACCATTAGCTGGTCGGGATAGCTGGTTTAGCTGGTAAAAGCTAGTGGTCACAGTGGTCTAGCTCAGTGGTTCTCAACTGGTGGGTCGCGGACCCGTTTCGAGTGGGTCGCGGATGTGTGAGTGAAGAAAAAAAAGTTGAAAAAAAAAAAATTGGAATTTTTTTTTTTTTTTTTTGGGAAAAAGTCAAACTTTTATTTTGAAGGCCCGATTTTCTTCTCAGAGTGTACCAGAATGCGTAGTTTATGTTAGTATTTCTAAAAATCTCCTGGGGGAGAATCCCCCCAGACCCCCCTGCTGGGGTTGGGTTTCAGCACGTGTGCCTTTTTATATAGTTCAGCTTTGATTCCATCATCTCATTAAACCTTTTTTAAAAGCATACTTTAGTTCTGTGAAGGGATATAAGGGATATATGCACTGTACTTATCTTTTATTAATATTGTATGCTCAAAAGCGTATATATTACAGCACGATTTTTTGTTGAATAGATTTGAGTGCTTCAAAATGTTGGGTCGCGATGTATTGACCAAGTAAAAAGTGGGTCCCGAGGCCTGACCAGTTGAGAACCTCTGGTCTAGCTGGTCAGGATAGCTGGTTTGGTCACAGTGGTCTAGCTGGTCACCATTAGCTGGTCGGGATAGCTGGTTTAGCTGGTAAAAGCTGGTGGTCACAGTGGTCTAGCTGGTCACCATTAGCTGGTCGGGATAGCTGGTAAAACTGGTGGTCACAGTGGTCTAGTAGCTGGTCACCATTAGCTGGTCAGGATAGCTGGTAAAAGCTGGTGGTCACAGTGGTCTAGCTGGTCACCATTAGCTGGTCGGGATAGCTGGTTTAGCTGGTAAAAGCTGGTGGTCACAGTGGTCTAGTGGCTGGTCACCATTAGCTGGTCAGGATAGCTGGTTTAGCTGGTAAAAGCTGGTGGTCACAGTGTTCTAGCTGGTCACCATTAGCTGGTCAGACTTGTATGATCTTGAGTAGAACTTTAGCTGGGATTACTTGATGGTTAAGCTGGTCATATATGATGATGAAACACTCTCACCCAATTGCAGTAGCTCAATCTATCATTTCAGATCAGAGCACCTACCTTACCAGAAAGGTACCAGAATGTATAGAATGTATTGTCTGTAAATAAATACTCATACATCAAATGATTAGAAGCAGGAAAATAATTTATAACACACAATGAACATTAACACAAATTTGAAAACATTTTCAAAACACCCATTACTTCATATTTTTAAGCAGTTTCCTTCAACTGTTTCTTTCCGCTTTTCACAAGGTCCTGTATTTTTTGTGAAATGTAGTAACCGGCCAACTTTTCCCTCTCGGTTTTCTCCACGTTTTGTGAATTCAGCCATCCTCTGAAGCACTCTTGAAAAGAGAAAGGAAAAACAGATTAACTTTTAGCTTTGTGTTATGATTACTTAAAGGGGACCTATCATGCAAAATGCACTTTTGTACGTCTTTTATACATGAATATGTGTCCCCGGTGTTCCAGGGAACTTACCAAGTGTCAGAAAACACAACCCTCTCTATTTTCCTCCATACCCAAATCTAAAAAAAAGGGGCTGCAACGGATCTGATAAAAACTGATCCAGATTTGAACACTTTACTGACGTCAGGAAAGTGGCGCTACGGCTATTGGGCCAACCTACAAGGTATATGCAGGAATCCTGAAGTCAAATGTAATACCCTTTAAGACCTTTTTTAAGACCCTTTCCATACATTTTAAGACCTCATCGCCACTTGGAGTTTTAATCGGTTACCTTGGCGACACACTTTACCTGACATTTACTATATACAGTATTGATTGTCCTTCCTCCTTATCTTCCAACCATTTGGACGCAAACTTGCATTTCCCCATAACGATGTTGTTTAACAACCGGCGTAAACGGAAATTTGCGCGCTATCAAGCAGTGAGCGCGATGTCCTGTTCAGATGACGTCAAATCCAACGGGATGCCATAAATAAACTACACAGAATCACACTACACACCTACGCAATGATTACATTCAGGCAAACTGTAGAATACCTCTTTGGACAATTTATATACTTATTGAAAACAAGCTACAAAATGTAATACCTTGGAAAATGCCGTTTAATACTTTTTAATAGCCTTAATATTCGCTAAATTGATTCACCAACTTTTAATACTTTTTGAGACCCCGCAGACACCCTGCTACAGTATGATAGATATATTACTTTACACCCGGAAGTATGTATTGTCAATCTTATTGTCGATAAATTGAGGGATATACGCTATATTTTATTAACACCAGTATGTACTTTATACATCCACCTCGAGTGTTTGTCTCTGCACCGGAAATAATTTAATTTTAAAGTTCAACCGCATATTATATAGACTATATCAGCGCCACACCTGCGTAACACATGGTGCCTCTTGTCTGAACAATTTTTTAAGCGATTTGTAATCTATTCTTGTCGACTTGCAGCCTAAATACAAAGATAACTCCACTCTCCTACCACTGCTTACCTCTAATGAGCCTTGGTAGAACTAGTGTCCGAGTCATGGGGTCCAGAACTGACTGAAGACATGTGGAACAGAGGACAGGCATGGTTCCATGTACAGGAAACTGGAACTTTGAACAGGTGTTTTCATCTTTCCCGTCTGAAGATTCTCAAGTTCTTGATCAGGTGTTTGATGTGGGCTGGCATGATCCTTTCTGCAGCGATGAATAAAGAAAACAAAGAAAACATTTGTAATGATGGTAACAACAATAATATTAGTATAACTATTTATATAGCACTTACACAATTGCAAAGTGATTCTCCCAACAAAAATAAAGAACAAAACAATACCAACAATAAAAAAACAAATGATTATAGGAATGTTAAGAGACAAAGAAATTATAAACATTCTGAAAGGCCGACTACAAAAGGTAGACTCAATGGCTCTTGATGACATCAATGCGCAGTCCCAATAGATGCTGTTGTATACAAATAAATAGATTTATTCTATTTTGTGTTGGATGATTTGTTTTATTGATTGCTGATGGATGTATATATATATATTAGAGATGGGCGAGTCCTGATTCATCCGGATCATTAACCCGGATCCTAGAAATGAGCTGGTCGTGACGAGTCTCCCCTCTCCATTAACCCGAGTCCTTGAGTCCCACACTTGGTGTGACGTACAAATTAAAACTATAAATTGCGTCACTCGCTACTCTCTTTATAACATGTAAAATCACATTACAACGTACCCCAGTCCATCTGCCTACCCTTTAGCAAGTATACAGGATAGCTGCCTGCCAGAAGTTATCGTTTGGCTCAGGGGAGGGGACGCGGATCAGTGAAACTTCCTGCAGACTCGTGGGGACTCAGAGGAGCCGACGGCTCCTAACCGTAATAGCATAGCAGATCCAGCAATCCATACTCGTCATGTGCACGAGCATAGCCCCTCCTCCAGCACCCGGCTCCCGCGCTATATTATGCACGAGTCAACAGCAGACTCGCAGATTCGCAAATCCTGACTCGCTGCAACACACAGCAGAGCAGACTCGTGCGGACTCGGAGCCGTAACCATAATAGCAGCAGATCCAGAGATCCAGCAGACTCGTCGTCATGCACGAGTCAACAGCAGACTCAGATTCGCAAATCCTGACTCACTGTGCAACACACAGCAGAGCAGACTTGTGCAGACTCGCAGCCGTATATAGCAGCAGATCCAGAGATCCAGCAGACTCGTCCTCATGCACGAGTCAACAGCAGACTCAGATTTGCCAAATCGCAAAATAACCCTTTTTTTTGTGATCAACATTTTTTATTAAAGCAAAATACACTGTGTAGCGGAGGTTAATATAACGTCAGTTTAATAGATAGATAGATAGATAGATAGTACTTTATTGATCCCAAATTGGGAAATTGTTGTTGTTACAGCAGCATAAAAGGCATTTTACAATAAAACAAAACTACAAAATATACAAGAATAGAAAGTAAAATAAAATATAAAATATACATGTCGAAATAGAAAATATACATGCAGATATTATATATATATATATATATTCAAAATATATGGAATAATAATATGCTCGTGAAATGCATCAACTTTTCGGTTTCACCGATAGGATTTCTACGGTCTTGGTGATGCTGACTCGTATGACTCAAATGACTCGTATGATCCGGATCTCTTCAATGACTGACTCAGAAGACCCTGAGTCCGTAAAAGGATCCGGATTTGCCATCTCTAATATATATATATAGGGTTTATTGAACAGCAGTAAAGCATTAAGTTGCTAAATTAACGTACACTGAACTGTAAAACAACTTACCACTATTTAGGAA